AAAATTTCTAGTGGCGTCGTCTGCCACGTTTTGTGACGTTGGAACCCATCGCCATTCACATGGTTTACTGTGATCTTCGATCTCAGCCAATCGATGAGCAACGAATGGTTTAAAAGCGCGAGGATCTGACTTAATCCACGCTAACACTGTACGTGAGTCCGTCCAAAATACTCTCTCGGATATCTCGTACTTGCTCTCTTCAATAACTGATGCAGCTAATCTGCTGCCCATAAGAGCTGCTTGCAATTCAAGCCTTGGAATAGAAATTGGTTTCAGCGGCGCCACTCTTGCCTTTGCGGCGATCAGCGTAATCCGCCTTTCTCCTGGCTCGTCCGTGGTGACTTAATACACCGCGGCAGCGTATGCTTTTTTCACTAGCATCCGTGAAGGTGTGTAATTCTCCCTTGCCGACGCCTTCAGCAACGGGTCTAGGTACTTCTAAATGACCTAATTTCTTCACTTCCGATATCCATTTACAAAATAACCGCCAATGGAAATTAATTGCATAAGACAATACTTATGCAATTAATTTCCATTAATTCTACTTATGCACAGCGATCATCTCGACCGGGGAACAAATCCTGGTCTCTAACTTTATTTTAATATTTCTTTAAATTAACATTATTGGAAATATGATTTCAACCGGGGAACAAATCCGGTAACATAATTTATATCTTAAAAATTCCCTATATGAATGTATTAAGAGATATTACTAAGAAAACGATAAACTATTCCGGCCTGGGAGTCGAACCCAAGACCTTCATATCATTAATTCGATATTTCTTTAAGATTCAACTAAGCATTTTCTTATCGTAATATTGTTGCTTGATAATTTGCTTTTTGAAAGCTATTCGTAATCGGTTAACTAATAAATTGAAATATTCTTATAGGCGCGTCGCCAACAAGTATATTCAAAGAAGTGTAATCTACTTCTCTTCTAATTAATGAACGAAAATTAAGGACACTGAGGTCTATATTCCTTACACAGTTTTGGTGACATAAGATTAGGAACGTTGAGCTGCTGTGGCTTTCAATATTAATTCAATAAAATATTGTTGGATGCTATTACGGCCAAATAATTTTTTCTATGCTGTATTATTTCTACTACCTATTAAGCTCGAAAACTTCTAAGAAATTTTTGCTTACACGTATTCTTCAAAACGCCACCGATGCAATTTACTGTTTTATGTTAATTATGTTAATAATATACGATGGCCTGTAATGATTAGGAAATTAGAACACAAATAAGAAACAGTTTGGACCAAATGTCAGTTTCTTAGGTTAAATATTTATTTATTTATTTATTTGTTTATTTATTATATGGGCAACAAAACAGATAACAATCAAAATACATTAAAAATTACACATAAACATATAAAAGTTTCGTGCCAGATTGTTTTCCTAAGTATGTTGACACATCATTTTCATATTTTACTACAGAGGAGATCTAATCTACGCTTAACAATATTAATATTAATGCCGTACATTACTACATAATACAAAAAAAAAAAACAAATTTTACATACAACAAGTTTAAAATCTATGTGATATGGGACATAACACAAAAAACAAATTTTACGTACATCAAATTTAAAATCTATGTGATATGGGAATGAGCGTGTATGACTGTAAGCTCTTTTACTGCTCTTTTGAATATTCTTGATCTTGGGTCAAAAATATCCAAGCGGGAGTCTTTCGTGGATATCTCGTTGTAAAGTCGACACATTCTTATTATCGGGTTGTAAAAAGACGTATTATTCTTGTAAGTCTGCAGGTGAAATGTCTTGTTAGGAATTCGTGGATTGCGCTTTGTAATAAAGTTTAATTTACTTAAGAGGTAACCGGAATCAATCTCATTATGGAGAATTTTATGTAAATATATAAGGTCATATTCCTTACGGCGAATAAGTAAAGAGGTCATTTTAAATTTGTCGAGTCTCTCACTATAACCGACAAGACTGCGACCAAGACCACATTTGTAGCTAAGTATTCTAAGGGTTCTTTTTTGGACGCTTTCTATACTATCCGAATGCACTGTGTAGCAGGGAGACCAAATGACACAAGCATATTCAAGAATACTACGGACAAGGCTATTATAAACGGTTAGGAAGCTTTGAGGCTGTTTGAAGTCCTTAGTGCACCTCGATATGAAACCTAGCAACCGGAATGCTTTGTTCTTAATGTGGGCATAGTGCTCACGAAATGTTAATTTAGAGCCAAACAGCATACCCAGATCTTTTGCTACCGTTTTACTGTCTAATGAATCTTTATTAATTTTATAGTCATATGTCTGTTTATATCTCTTATTTGTGAACGTTATAGTAAAACACTTTTTAACATTGAGATGCATATCGTTAAGCCGGCACCATTCGGATATTGAATCAATATCATCTTGTAGCTTAACACAATCAGATAAATTCTGTATTACACGGTACATTTTCAAGTCATCAGCATATAGAAGGCAGGGACTGGACAGTTTACAAATCAGATCGTTTATGAATACAATAAAAAATAACGGACCGAGATGTGAACCCTGAGGAACACCGGATTTAACTTTGATAGGAGATGACGTGAAACCTTTGAGAGCGACAAGTTGGCTTCTATTATCGAGGTACGAATGAACCCAGCGCAGTAGATTTCCATGAATACCCAACATAGCTAATTTTTTACAGAGTAAAGAATGGTTTACTTTGTCGAAAGCTTTTGTAAAATCGGTGTACACGGCGTCAACCTGCCCACCCACGGCGAAAACCTCGCACAAGTCGTTTTTGTATTCTAACAAATTAGTCACTGTTGATCTGCCTCTCACGAAACCGTGCTGCTTGCTAGATATAAGCGGCTTGATTTGAAAGTAAAGATGATCATATAACGCAGATTCAAAATCCTTAGCAATACAGCACAAAATGCTAATAGGTCTATAATTTTCGCAGTCAGACTTATTTCCGGACTTGTGAATGGGTACGATGTGAGCCAATTTCCAAATGGAAGGGAAGGCACCAGACTTTAATGACTTATTAAACAATAATGTTAGTGGTTCACACAGTTGCCTTGCACAATTTGAGAAAAGTATAGCGGGAATACCATCATACCCTGTACCTTTGCAAGTATCTAATTTCTTTAATTTTTCCAATATTGTATACTGACTTAGTTCTATATTACACATACTGTAATTACAATAATTATCACAGTCTACAATATCATTAGTAACAAAATCCTGGTTAATGACAGGTTGAGAAACTTCGAAAGCTGAACTGAAGTACCGAGGAAAAAGTTCACATATTCCTTGTATGTCCGAAGAAGATTCCGTACCAAGAGTCATAGTCTGTGGCATACCTGAGCTACCTATTTTATTGTTAACGAAATTCCAAAATATCTTTATGTTATCCGATAGACTTTTTTCCATGGAGGTAATAAATGATGCGTACACCGATTCCGTAAGTTTTTTACATCTCATGCGTAGCAATGCATAAGTGTCGTAATCTCTAGGATTATGATATTTTTTAAAATGACGGTGATATTTTTTTTTCTTTGAGACTTGACTTTATTAATGCTGAAGTATACCATGGTGAATATTTGTTATTGGTTTTACTTACAAGCGGTGTGTGTTTTGCAATTAACTTTTTCAACAGAGAGTAAAACTTATCGAAAGCCTCGTTTATATCCGGTTCAATTAATAAGTTAGACCAATCAACAGTTGCTAGATCCTCTTTTAAATCAGGATAATTACATTTGCGGTAGTTATATCTTATTGGTTGTGCACGTTTCATTTTTTTAAATTTAAAATTTTCCATTAATACAATTTTCAGTGGAGGGTGATGTGAATCTATTCGAGTAAAAGGCTCAGTAGATGTTACGAGCACTTTTTCAGTTGTTGACAAGACGAGATCAAGAAGACGGCTATTCACATTATAGACTGAATTAAGTTGAACTAGGTTACAAAGATTCATAATATCAACAAGACAATTAGATTTAAAGTCGGATGAAATACCAGGTGTCATAACGTTACTATAAGTGCTAGGGGACCAACTCAGATGTGGGGTGTTAAAATCGCCAATAAGTAAAAATGTGTCTTTATCCTCAACACGAGATACGTTTTTATGAACATTGTCGTAAAAGGCTTGCAAGTGGTCGCGAGAAATATCGGGAGGGAGATAACATAAATATAAGTGGAGCTTTCGACAGGAAACATTGCTCGGAAGGATAGTCACCCAAAGATCTTCAACTTCACATTCCCAACTCGTTTGTCTAATTACATGATACTTGTCGTTAACAGCAATTAATACGCCACCGCCATCATGCTTAGAAATACAACTTGTATAACGGTCCCTTCTGAATACAGAGAATTGGGAATCAAACATTTCAGAATCAAACACACTATCATTTAAATTGGTTTCAGTAAAACATATAACATCAAAATTACAACTTAAAGTATCAAAATAAATATCTGTAACTTTGGTCCTGGTTCTGTTTACGTTTTGGTAATAAATATCCATTAATAAAGAATTTATCAAGTATTATATAAAAATTAAAAGTTATATTCAAATAAAAAGAAAGAAACAAAAAAAAAATATCTATTGTTTTAGAGTGTCAAGAGTGTTTGTATTTTTAACATGTATGGCAGTTGAATTATCATCTTTTCTCATATAAACACGGCCATACTTAACCCAGACATATTTATATGACAAGTGCTTGGCGGTTAATCTTGCTGTGGCATGAAGCTGTTTTATTTCTGGTGAAAGGTGCTCTGAAACATAAACAATGCACTCCTCTCCATGTATGCCCAAATGAGCAGAGTTCAATTGGGTAGATTTATTGTTCTTGTTGTAACGTTTGTAAGCAGATATCACGTTATCTCGGTCGCGCTCCGATGGTAAAGTTACGAGTATTCCACGCGGTCTTTTTGAATTTTTATCAATTTTTGCAACTCGCCTTACAGCTTTAATGTCAGTCTCACTAAATGACATTTTTATTTCTGTTAACAGTTTACACACAATGGAAACCTAGTTTTCGTTTTTCTTTTCTGGTACACACTGTATTTCAAAATTACAACCCCTAGAAATTTTTTCTAATGTGGAGATACGATTGTTTAATTTGTGTATCTGCGATTCTAGTGTGGTTTTTTCCGTTTCCATTTTAGCGATATTTTTTGTTGCGATATCTAATTTTGTTTGCATATCACATTGAAGTGCAGCTAAGTGGTCAGTCGTCTCAGCGAACTCCGCCTTAAGCTTACATATAGCGCAGTTGATATCCTCCCTAATTGCAGACCTCATATCCGAAAATTTTAAGTCCAAGAGTGCGCTAAACTGATCATATGTAATAGTCGCCGATGGTAGTACACTGCTAGAGTTAGAGTGATAGGAAACACCTTTCTCGGTAAAATCAACCGTCTGCGGTACTATGTTATCGGAAGACGTATCCGAGTTGTCGGTAGGCGGTGATAGGATCTGCTTACGGACAGGCGTATTATCATATTTACGGCGCGATACTTGCTTACATGATTGGAACTGCCATTGCCGTTTTAGTTCATGTAAATTGTCTTTATAGAAAGATGTTGACAAATTATAGCACTTGTAATGATAACATCCCTTACATGCAATACATTTAAGCTGTTCATCACTACGAGTGATTTTATTGCATGCTAGACAATGCATTCTAATAGAATTCACGTAGGTAGGTGAAACCGTTTGAATATAGTAATATAAAACTTGCTTACATGCGACAACGCAGCAAAAACAGTGCTCACGCCGCGGTCATCGGTCAGTAAGTTACTACTGGAGTTAGCGCTTAAGCTACGTTGTTATACCTTAGCGGTCGAGCTGTGGGTTGGTGTAGGTCAAGGATATATTCGATAACGTACTTAGATTTTAACTGAATATTTTCGAAAGTCCTCTTGGTATATCAATTGTTTTGTTAATGCACTATCACAGAACAATAAAACACTACACAGGTAGTAAAGCCAATAAGTTATTTACTACTGTACGGCACTTTTGACTATGTTTTTGATAAAAACACGAAGAGCAGATCTTACTGTGACAGCGTACAATTGACAATTAGTGTAATAACCCAACATATAAAAAAGGACCGGTTTGGTTACCTTCTTTTTCACCATCAGACCTGGAAAGATGACTGATGAATATGGACCTCTTCCGTTCTGGGAAGGATTCGTATCAATCACCACATTTGACACTTGGCAGGTGTCGGCAACCTGTCGCTGGACAGTGCTTAGTATCTAGTTTAAACGATCTCGTTGAAACTTGATATTAAGTTATAGGTATAGTTAAACAGCTATCCATCGAAAGCCGTGAAATTTTTCTGCTCTTTCCAATATTCGACTCCTACGACTAGACCCACGGGATGATATAAGGTGATGGATTCTCTTACGCCATCACCACAAGTAATTTTATTACTTATATAGTTTATTTTTATACTATAAGTTCTAAAAACATCAGCTATAGTCACCTATAGGATTACCATCCTCACCAAACGATCTTTGGAAAGAAAGGGAGAAAGTACATAGTAAGCATCGCAGGTAACTTTAAAAGTTTTTTGCAAAATCTCAATTTCTTATGATAGGTTCAGAAATTTACCTACTTTCAGAAAAGGAAACTTGCTGTTTACTGGACCATAATATTGTCTTTTTAAGGATTACATCCCTCTTTAAAAAATTTGATTCAATTTAATTGTTAAAATATTTAGACCCTAGCGTAAATGAAAGCTCTTTACTTTGTACAAATTTATGGAGTTATTTGTACAAACTGTTTGATTAGTAGAACAAATAAAAATTTTACGAAGGCAATCCCCTATGGTAAGTCAAGTCAACGCAAGCATTATTATACATCATCTGAATGAGAAACAGCAAAGATATAATTATATTTTACTTAAAGAAATGCAATCAACGGTTTCAAGATCTACCTGACTTATATTCTTTATAAAACGAATCCAAAAGAGTAACATAATTAAGCCTTGTTACATAGACATTCACTTGTAAATATTCATTTCTTTAAAAAAAAAAGCAAACTGTTTTTTTTCCTGCCTTGTATCTTGAAAGCGTTTAACGTACAAAAATCGAACATATGAAAAAACATTCAGGCCGAAACTACAGGCCCTACAAATACTTTGTTCGTAGGGGATCCGAAACCAAGACTCACAGTGCCGTAACCAAATCTTTTTCAATTGAAGTTTGAAATTAAAATTCAATTGAAATAAAAAAATTATTCATTGCGGAGACCGAGCCATAACGATATAATATGACGTATTCGTGGGTGCTTCTGTAAGTGATTGTGTAATTCTTGGAAAAAGTATCGATTGTTGTCATATTCAAAGAACTTGTCCTGGCAGTAGTTAATAGAAATGTTAGAATCCGACAGATGGCGTGGTATTAAAGCTATTTACAAATTCTATATTTATGAACCAAATTTCTCAAATTCACAATTATCTTGGTTCAGTACCGAAAATAAAAATTTAAAAAAAATTGCCCATGGGTATCGCCACCACCATTAGCTAGGAGGGATGTAATCTTTACAAAGATAACCCATTTTTTTGAATAGTCTACTAGATTGAGACTTTATTAGTTATGAGAATTGGAAGGTGAATCACTTGTAGTATGGTATTAGGCCTGCAAAAATTTTATTTCGGTACAATATCTGGAAAATTATGGAACGGATTAAATTTTATTGGATCAAATTTTACACTATTTCATTTATTATATGGCCCTAATAGTCATCGATTTGTTAGCAGATGAGTGAAAGATTTCAGAGTATTTACCACGTGCATCGTAGTGAGTTTTCAATTCTTCAAGGTCAACTTAATTGCACTGCACTTAGACTTATGATTGAAGAGAACTTTTTGGTTACAATTTCGGTATCATTGATAAGATGTGAAGGACATCTTCCTGGAAGACGTAAGGTAAGGTTAACTTTTGAAGTAAAGGAAGGAAATGTTATATCTATTGCTGCAAAATACTTTAACTAGTGTTAATTTTCCGTTAATATGTTCGTCGAAAATAATAGCCAAAGTACCGAAAGAGTGCTAGTGATGCTAGCAGTGCGTAAATTACTCACATGTTCATAAATTTGTAAATTTATATTACGCCAGACATTAAGGAAATAAATGCCGCAAGTACACTTGCGAAATATGTTCTATGTATTGTAAGCTCCCATCTATATTCAAATGGTTATTACGGCAACTCCTTTCAATATAAAAGAGTTAGCTTCTTTCACCATACTTTACTCTTATGCCGATTGAAGAAACCCAATTCATTTTTCAGAATTAGGATTACGTACCACCATAGAACTTATAACCGATGGGAAAGAATGTTGTTCGAGTAGCAGCCTCGTAGCGTAAGCAGGGCGTCACCTTTCTACAGGAATCCCGCACAGAACAAATATTTGTACGGCCTACAAATAACTGTTTCAGATCTGTATGTTCGTCCTTGTTAACTTTATGTACGTAAACTGCCACGATACAGAATAAAATAAAATAAAACGTTTTAATAAAATAGATTGGTACGATACGTAGTTGCACTAAAACGCACATTTGATTTACTGTATTAGCTGTCAATATCCTTCCTCTTCACTTCCGATTCCTTCCTGCACAGGCACGCCCAATGAGAGACTAGACATGGTGGCATCATTCCGTTCGACTAATGAGACGCGCTGGCCAGAAGCACGGTAATATTATCTATAAAAATTACCGTGCCTGAAGTGAAAGGGGCCGGAAGCACGCCGCCGGCCGACCAAAGTTATCGTCGTGCGCTCAGGCGCACCAGTTGAAGCTCGATTTTAGGTGTGACAGTCGAGCCACAGAACAATTTCGTAGTGACCGCTGGGACAGTGCAATTCGTCGCGGACTAGTGCAAAAAAATTGTCGTGTCGTTCAACGGTCAACCCCAGTACATTTGTCGTCACGCATCATCGCAGTTGCAACGCAGTGAGAAAGTGCCCGTGAGCTGTTTTTATTTGTTATACCTTTTCCCACAGCAGCTCATGCTCCTGTCATTCCCGCTAAATATAGTAAATTAGTTTATAGGTATATCGTCCAAAGCCCGCCACGTGCCACATCCGCCATCTTGTTTGGGTTAAAGCCGACCACGATAAATAATTTTATATAATATAATACTTATACTAATAGTTTACTTTCGATTATTGTTCCTGTTTTTCATATGTGGTAAAGTTACATCTACACAGAAAAAAAAAACGAAGAGTATAGAGGACTTAGCTACATTTGATATCCGTATACCAAGAGGTAATAGGAAATAAGTCACCTGACTATAGAATAACTCAAATGGGTAAACGTTGATACGTGCCAATTCACGTCATTTTTCCAAAAGGTAATAGACTACAAGAAACAGCGCCCAGCATAAACATCGTGAGGATGTTAGACCTTAGCGACACTGTAAGTGGGTTAAAAAAAGAGCTAATGTGGCACTTCCACATGTCATGATTCCTATACCAAGAGGAAAAAGAGAACATCCAACATGCGTCATTATCGTGTATATTAGACGTGGCCCTTAATTCATATTAGTAATATGAATTAAGGGTCACGTCTTAAAAATAACAGATTCACAAAACACATGATTTGCCTTTAAAATAAGACTTAAGCGTCATCATCATTATTACACCCATTCACAAGTCCACTGCTGAACATAGGCCTCCCCAAAGAATGCAAGGCACGGTCATGAGCCACCTGCATCCATCGGCTTCCTGCATGCCTTACCAGGTCGTTACTTCGTCTAGTGGGGATTCACGCACCGTTTGTACAATCTAGTTTTCAGGTTTTGGAGTACGAGAAGATGTGTCGTAATTTCCCGAACGCTGCCCGATCGATTTTAATACGTCGATTGACCTCTCGTTCGAAGTTGGACTTACCTAGTCGGACTATTTGTCCCAGGTAAACCTACTCGTCGACAACTTCGAGCATTGTGCTCCCAACAACTACCGTCTAAGTGTGACATGAACATTAAACATGGTCTTTGTTTCGTCCATGTACATCTTAAAACCTATCCGTTGGGAGACACTATTGAGGTCATTGAGCATAGTTCTTAGGTCTTCTAGCGATTCTGCCATAAGTACTATATCGTCAGCAAATCGAAGGTGCATGATGTACTCGCCATTGATGTTCGTACCGTATCCTTTCCAGTCCAGTAGCTTGAAAACGTCTTCCAATGCAGTGGTGAAGAGTTTCGGGGATATAAAGTCACTCTGTCTTACACCTCTCTGTAGTTGGATAGATTTCGTATTTTGGTTCTGTACTCGGATAGCCATCGTAGCTCTGCTGTGCAAACACTTGAGCACTTTGATATACTGACAGTCCACTTGGCACGGCTGAAGGGACTATAATACCGCCAAAAAATCGACGGAATCAAAGTCTTTGTCATAGTTAACATAAGCCAGGCAACGGGGCAGATTGTACTCTTCGGTCTTTTGTACAATCTGCCGCAGAATATATAAATGAAGTCTATGTACTGAAGTCTTTTCGGAAACCAGCTTGTTCGGGAGGCTGAAATTCGTCGAGTTTACGTGCGAGACGATTCGTAATGACTCTCGAAAACCGCAAATAG